TTCCAACTCTGTTATTCTGTTATTCAGTGGAATGGCTTGCCTTTGGAAGTTGTGGGAGCTTCATCCCTGGAGGCTTTCAAGAAGAGACTGGGTCGCCATCTGTCAGAAATGGTGTAGGGTCTCCTGCTTGGGCGAGGAGGGGGTTGGACTAGATGGCCTACAAGGTCCCTTCCAACTCATCTGTTAATCTTCTCAACCAACCTGTAAAAGCATGTCGCCTGGCTCAATCCGTCCATCCGCCGCCACTGCCCCGCCCTTCATGATGGAGCCAATGTAAATGCCGCCGTCGCCCCTGTCGTTGCTCTGCCCTACGATGCTGATGCCCAGAAAATTGTATTTTTCTGACGTCCCAAAAAAAGAAAGAGAGAACAACAACATATAGTACAGGAAAACCATTAAAGCAGATTTTCCCAGTGTAGGAGTGGTTACGACCTCCGAACCAGAGCGAAAGGTGGCAGTTGCTCAATGCTGGTTGGACACCGATGGTCAGTTTTTTTTCTCGCTCTCAAGAGCCCAACGCCGGCGAATCTTGCTTACCCATGTTGAGGGTGACAGTGATGATGTTGAGGGACATGGTGGAATCGGTGATGCTGCTAAAGGAGGAAGACTGGAAGGCAGAAGAGGGGAGAGAGAGAGAGAGAGAGAGAAAGTGTCAAGATGGCACAGCTTCCAACTATTGGTCCCCTGACACCACTAGGACTCGCAGTGGAGTGAGGACAACTCACACCCTGGTCAGCCCTTCTTTATTCTCCTAGGAAGGAGATACGGAAGCTTAAGCAGCTGCACAAACAAGCTGAAGAACAGATTTTATCCCTGGGCTGTTGGACTCCCGAATGCTTTGACCCTTCGGTGGAAGGCCTGTTCAAATGAGGAAGAGTAGGAACCAGATGCCACGGTGCCTTCTATAAGGCATTAAAAAGCTGCCCTTCCTATATCTTTGCCATTCCTTGCCGGAGCCATCTTTGACCAAGTTCAGAGGCCGCCACCCAAGCTGGGAATGTCAGCCTGATCCAGAAAAGAGGAACCGCCGGGATGTTTTAAACCTAGACTGCCAAGCACTGGATCCCATCCTCTCACCCGGTCGATCTGTCGCATTTTCTGTTTCCTCCGCCTGCGCTTGTGCTTGCGAATCAGACGGGACGACGTGCTCTGCTCCGTGGAGCTGCTCAGCCTGGGGGGGGGGGGGGGGGGGAGAAGAAAAGAGGACCGGATTTGAGAAACCAGAGCACAGCTCAGCCACTTTGGTCCTTGGATGGCTGCTGTTTCTAGGCTGCAAGAGGAAGAGATAGATAGATAGATAGATAGATAGA